GATCAGTAGTGACCTACTTTAGATCTAAACCAATGCCACATTCAGGGAATCTTGTCAGTCTAGTGTTAGTGTCCCTCCCCTAGAACAGACCAAAACTGATGCACTCCAGCTCTGGGGACTCTGATGCGAACCCGGGCAGGGTCCGCCAAAGGGACCATCCAGATGGTAACACACAGCTTTTCCCTGAAGAAGGCCGGGAACTGCCTGAGCCCCTCAGTCACTGTCCACCTCCTCAAAGACACTTCTAATCATGCGGGTGTGAACTCGGTGAAGGCCAAGCTGCTGGCCTCAATGTAACCACCCCCATAACCACACTGTGCCAGGAGAGCAAGGGTGTGGGAAGGCCCCCTGCCAGGCTGTGAGCTTTGTCCAGGGCACCGCACAGGTGCTACAGGCACTCAGCGGAGCTGCCTTCAGACCAGAAGTGCCTCTCCACAGGGATCTGAGAAAAAGAACTGGGTCTCAGTAGACTGCCCTCCCCTGCCTTGGTCACATGCTGCTTCCAGGCATCCAGGCTGGGCAGCAGGGAGGAGATGCCCATGACGTGCCAGGTCTCCCCATCGGACACCACTGAGGTCTGGTAGGACAGCAGCTGCACGCCTGCCTCTGCCATGAGCCCAATCATGGTAGGCAGCACGGCAGGGTTGGAGGGCTGAGCTCGGAACAGGCTACTAGTTATATGATAAAATGTAATCACTGACTATGCCAGGAATTATGGAAAATAATTTAAGTGTTTGCAAGTATGTGACATCAGGCACAAATTCTTTCACTATCTATGATTACTAGTCATTAATAGCAGTTTTTGAGAAAAAGAACTGGGGTCTCAGTAGACCAAAGCTCAATGAGTCATTGCTGAAACGGGGCTGTTCAAAAACCTTATTTTGATCCTGGATGCACTAACAGAAATGCATGGTCTAAAATACAGTGCTCTTGTCACACCCCTTGTGTACAGCCCTGGGCACTAAGAATGGGCCCTGGCAGACATGTCACATAAAACGAAGAAGAGAAAACTAGGATGCCTATCAAGGAGCTTAAGCAAATATACAAAATTAACAGGTGACTAAATTATACTCTAAATCCAGCCAATACCACTTAGGTTGGAGGTAAGTAGCAAATGTGCCCTCCTCTTTAAAGAGCGGGAAACTGCTGAAACCGGTTTGGCTCAGTGGATAGAGCGTCAGGTCTGCGGACTGAAAGGTCCTGGGTTCGATTCTGGTCAAGGGCACGTACCTTGGTTGTAGGCACATCCCCAGTAGGGGGTGTGCAAGAGGCAGCTGGTCAATGTATCTCTCTCATTGACGTTTCTAACTCTCTATCCCTCTCAATTCCTCTCTGTGTAAAATCAATAAAATATATATATTTTTTAAAAATAGCGGGAAACTAAAATAAGGAATCCAGAATGAGTTAATCCTCAATGCTGAAAAAAAAAAAAGTGAACTGAAGACGTGTCAGTATGCAGTTAGTGTGTCCAAAGCAGCAACCCACCTAGGTAACTCAAGTTCCGGAAGAATCTTTTAGTTTCACATTTATAGATTAACTAGCTAATCAAATTTTCATTTACTTTCATTTGTTTACACAGCCCTAATCTTATAAATTCTTACCACAGTTCATTTTTAAAACCAGCTTCAAAGCAATGTAGAATCAAATAATAACTTCCCTTGGTCCTTCAATTTTTTAAAACGGTAACTCCTAAGTAAGATATTTTAAAAATTTTTATTTTCCTCTATCTTCCTACTATTCACATCTCACTTTATGTTCCTAGAAGCCCTAGCAATGAAGACACCATAGAAAATATTATTTATAGTAAATTTTATTCTCATTGCTATTTCATTTAACATAATTTCAAAGTTAGGTCTGTGCTCTAAGATCAACAAAAGAACAGATACACAATCTCTCTATGTAAGGTATGGGATTTCAGGGCCCCCAGTGTTGACACCCAACATTTATCTCTTGAGACTTTATGTAAAAATACAAAAAGAAGGAATAAATGTCAACATACAAGAATCAAATTGTATGAGGGTATTATAACATTTATAAGCGTTTATGTTATAGGATACCCTCCTCTTTAGGGCTGTAATAATAATGACTAATATTTTCTCTTGCAGAGATCAGTATCTTTTCTTTTTTTAAGTAAAATGTCAATATATGTGAAAATGCTGCATTTATTTCTCCTCACAGACTAAAAATAGAAGTTCTTAAATTCTTCATTGAGTCCAAGCCGGCACATGGCTATGATTAATGGGGTTTGCTGAATACACTAATTCCAAGTTTGGCGACCATCAGCAAACTGTTAAAAAACAACAACACAAAGCAAAAATGTCAGGTAAAGAACAGAACAGGTACTTGACTATTTTTTTTTTTTAAAGGATTAGGATTCTGTGGGTCTCTCACCACACAGTGAGCAGGTACCAAGCAGGCAGAGATGGAACTCCCATCCCTGGGGGCACCAAGGAAAAACACGGCGTGGGCGGTCTTGTGCTGAGGCCTTAACCCAGTGCGTACAGCTGGCGATCCTAACCTCACTGCCCATAATCCAGAGATGAGGAAACTGGAGGCTGGGAAAACCAAGGCTTCCACAGTCACAGAACTAGCTAATGGTGGATCTGCCCTCCTACTTTACTGCTCTCAACCTCAGTCTGCACTGACTACAGCACATTTTGCTTAACAGCATTATAGCTACAACCAAAACCATAGCTGTAAGTAATCCTTTCCCAAAACAGAGTTTTAAAAATTCCCCTATCTTCAGTGTCTCTTTATTATGCTTAGGACTGCATTAAAAAAAAAATCTGGTTTGGATTTTATAATCAGTTAATTAGAAAATAGGAACCAATAAAAATTCCCTTTTAGCAAAAATTTTTATAATAAAGGGCATCCATACAACTAAGACATCTGAACCCGCACTGAATGAGCTGCCACCATGGCTTAGCACTGAGGCTTCTTCCTCCGTAAGGAGGAGCCAGGATGGACCTGAGAGCAAATGTGAAAGCAAAACTGTTTCCATAATGAATGAATATATTTCCCTTTTTCACTTTGCCATTAAATCAGCTACTATTTTATAGTTTCTCCTAATTGTGCATAAATTAAATCACTTTAGTTGATGCCCAACATCAGGCATATTGAAACAAGTAAATCTGAGGGTGTACAAAGTATCATGAGCATTAAACTAAAATCCGGGTGGGTGAAGAACAGCAACAGAATAGAAAGTACCTGGCACCTGCAATTAGGCCCGCAGGCATAAATTTTCCAGAGTGATAGAATCTCATTCCCATAATGCCAGCCAAGGTTCCAGATGTAACTGATGGGAAAGAAAAAGAGGCAAAGATGACTACATCTTGTATTTGGGAGAACTAAAGTAAGTGGTCAAAGTCTCACCCTCTTTCAAGGGCCAGACTTCATCTCAGACCTCTCAAGTTGGGGAGCTTCAATGCCCACGTCCTGGGAGACTAAGCACAAATACTAGATATACTGGTAAGGCCCTCACAGTCCGGGCCCAGCCAATCTATACCATGGAGAGCAAACTGCAGGGAAACTGGAGCATGTAGGAATATCAATTAAGAAGCTTCCTCAGGAATGCAGGGAAAGAGAGGGATGACGGGATGAGGAGAGTGGCCGTGGTGATAGTGGAGATAACCTGGGATATGTGGTGCAAGTAGTGTTGATACGACTTACTGATGAGTTAAAGACGCGGGGGAAGAAGGCAATCAACACCCAGGCGGAGGGAGAACATCAGAAGACACAATGTGACTGAGCAAGTGAAGTCAGGCCTGGAGACATCTAGATTTCAAGCAGACAACTGTACATATATGAGTCAAGCTTAGTCCTAGCCAGTTTTGCTCAATGATAGAGCTTCGGCCTGCAGACTCAAGGATTTCAGGTTTGATTCTGGTCAAGGGCACATGCATGCCAGTTGTGGGCTCAATACCCGGTAGGGAGCATGCAGGGGCAATCAATATTCTCTCTCATCAACGATGCTTCTTTCTCTCTCTACCTCTCCCTTTCTCTCTGAAATCAATTTAAAAAAAACAACACAAAACTTTTAAGAAGTCAAGCTTGGAGAAGAGATAAATTTGTGAGTTATTGTATATTGGTGGTAATTTAAGGCCTGGGCTTCAATGACATTATCAAGAAAGAAAGTATAAAGAAGATTTAAAAAAGGCCCAAGCCTTAATTACTTTAATACTTTGTGGCAAAATAAATAAATAAATAAAAGGGGGGGGGGGGCGTGGGGGCTGAGGGCAACAAAAGAGAATGAGAAAATACAAAGGAAGACCAGGAGAGTGAAAAATGGATTGGGTTGGTATACTGCATTGAGAGCAGCTAACAGGACAAATAAAATGGATTTTATAAATAAATATACAATGGATTTTGAAAAAAATACAGGTTATTGGCAACCTCAGAGAGAGTTATGTATTTCCAAGGACAAAAGGGACAGAAATGGAGACGGAAGTGGATCAAGAAGGTACTAGTATGAGAAGTGTGGAAATGAAGACAGGAAGTATAACAACTTTTTCTAGAGAAGTTTCGGAAGGGGAAGAAGAATGGCAGCAACTGAAAAAGAAAGTAGGTTCACGAAAGGTCCTTTTTTAAAAAAATGGGTGAGATGAGCACATTTGTACACCAATAAGAGGAAACCATCTGCAAGGTGGAATGCAAGTAAGAGATGGCATCAGTGCCAGTGTCAAGTTCCAAGAAGTATGGCAGAAGAGACCCGAAGCCAGGATGAAGGGACTGGCCTCGGAGCGGAGAGAAGTAGCGCCAGGTCAATGGCATGAGCTCCGAGTCCCCATGTGATAACCGCTACTGTTTCTCCAGTAGGCAATGAGGGTCATCTGCTAGTGATGTGGGCTCACAAATGGGAAAATATGATAGGTCTGCAAGTCATTCTGGAGCTGAGTGAGGGAGCTGCTAGGCAGAGCTGAGAGCTGGGCACCTCCTCCTTCCCAGCACACCCCTCATCAGCCATCGTTGCCTTCCCTTCCCAGCCCGGGCAGAGTTGTACAAACCACTCTGTCAGCATGCTTGTTCTCCACCACACTGGCAAGGGAGTTAATGTTCTCATACTATGGGTTTGTGGAGACAGTGAGGAACCCGCACTCCGAGCAGACTGTCAGACACAGGAGTGGAGCTCAATAAAACGTGCCAAAAGCCACCCTGATAAGAAGTAATCTTTCCTTCCCTGCACTCCTCACTGGCCCCACAGAGTCACTTTTTATGTACAGGCTCCTTGAAGGCAAGGCCTATGTCTTACATGGTTAGCTTACCGGCAAAGGGCTAATGTTTTGAAAATGGGGAAAATGCAATATTGATAAAACTTAACCCAGGCATGTGACCCTTTAGTGATGCTCAAACAGTCTTTAATGGGCAAACTCAATGATTAAGAGACATATACTTGCCTTATACAAGTTTAATACTAATTTCACTGAGTAAATCTAAATTCATGAGGTATGAAAACTTTTCCACATTCTGTACATAAAAGCAGAAATCAGCATAACTATGGCCTCCCTCCGTCCCCCAATTTAAAAAACCTCCCGTGGACTGGGCAGAAGCAGTGAAACTGTCTTAATGGGAGGAACCTGACACATCCCACCAAACTAGGGCCCGTGGTGGAGTCTGCTGGACAGATAACTGACTTGGGAGAGAGTGAAGCTGACTTACCTAGGAAAACCCAAATGTTCCTTGGATCCTGAGACAGCTGATAAGCGCCCAGGCCTGCTAAGCCACCGAAGAGGAGCCCAGCAGCCAGGGATGGGACACTACCTGGAGGAAAGCAAACACACGTCATGCTGTAGTGTCAGACACCCATTCCCTGACAGAATCCAGCAGACTTCCCTTCCTGACAAAGGAAAATAGCAGAGAACTCCCAACACCGTTCACCTCCGAGTTCTCAAGCATGAAAATGTTTTAGGGAGTTTGGTAAAGAGTTCAAGTAAAATTACCAGAGAAGTAAGGCTCAGATCATACCATGTCACACACCACACCATCCCACCCTTCTCTCCTCTAGCAGGGAGGGTACTTTCACCTAAGAAGAAAGGCTCCTACTTCTTATTAAAGCACCCATTTAAGAAACAAAAAATAATGGTAATTTGGGATCCATGTATTTGTATTTGCTGTTTGCACCCCTGAAATCAATTCCATACCATATTTGAATACCATCCATTTTACACAAGTACTATCCTCGCATACTGTATTTTTATGTGTGCACACCTATCATCAGATCTTTTGTACATAGTAGCAGAATTGTAGCATATGAGAAAATATGTTTGGTATCTCAGCAATTTTGCATTTTTCTGTCTCAAATAAAAACATTTTAATCTAAAAAAAAAAAAAAGGAAAGGAAAATAACAGGCCTGATTAATCCGTCAAGGCCCGTAACTGTCCATGGACAGGACCTTGGGGAAATCCCAAAAGGAGAAGAAAAGAGGATTAGTAAATTAAAAAATATTTGGAGAGTAAGAAATCTGGGGTGTGTGTGTGTGTGTAGAAATATGCAGGCTCTCTGTTACACCCTTCCAAATTTAATAAAGAGGCTTCAAAAATTGAGTATGTGAAGACTAGAAGTTTCCTACTATAATACTTAAAGAAAACAGCACAGAGACAGCTCTCGGAGGTCAAAGCTGATGCATGGTAGCTGATGATAATAACAATCTGCTACCACTCCTGCCCAGCACCTTTAGACAAAGAGGCAAATACAAGCTATTCGATAAGAAGCCTGGCTTAGCTCAGCCAGATAACCCAAAGGCAAGTGCAGCAGCAGCCACCACAGGAATTGCTACAGGACTGACAATAAGCCTGAACTCAAGCTAGAGGGCCTAAAGCAAGCCTCATTCAAGTAGGTCTGTACTTTGGGGACCCTAAGGACTCACTCTTCACCAGGAACAATGAGAAGATCTAAGAGGTTAATAACTAGATACCATACCTGCTTTTGCATAGCCAATGATCCCACCAGAAGCAACCAGTGCTGCATAGCCAAAGCCAATCCAATGTAACGGCACTCTGAAAACAAAATAAGAAATCAGTGCCAGCCATGTTTCAAAAAAAACAAAGACCCACAATCCTCCTGCACCCAGTTCCACCCACCCCAGCAGTCTACGTTAGTGCCCTTTCCAGATGGGGATAAAAACGCGGTGTGAGCCGCTCCTGGCTATTCCACCCTCACTCACTGTGCACTTACAGCGGGCCGGAGTCCTTCTGCATTGTTCTCTTTCGCTCTGTCCAGAAAAGAGGCTACACCGGCCTGCACCTGCAGAGGAGGGTCTGGATCAGAGGTGGTTACTAGCACAACTCTGACAGGATTAGGGAGTCCAAGTCCCAGCTCAGCCCCTTAGCAGATAAAAAGTGGGCAAGTACACATCCTCCCTAGTTTCCTTCACTGTCCCATGAGGATAACAATGGCACAAATTTATTGGGGCTGCGCTGGGCATTAATTGTCATAGTAAGTAAAAGTACTGAACCAATCATATTTGTAATAACCTCAATTCTAATAACATAGGCCCACAGGAATGTGAACAAAATTCACTGACCAGCTCTTCAGAGGCTGAGTTAACCTTTCAACACTTAACCAAGTTATGTATTACTAAAACAGAAAGCAAACTATCTTCTGTGCCCTTAATTCAACTACTTTAAGTTGTCCCTTTTAGGGGAAAACTGAGTGCTGCTTTTCTTTGCTCCAAGAACCAAACTATTCCAATATTTAAGGTTTGTAAAATTTTAAACAGTTATTTACTTTTGCTACTGACTCATAGTTCTCATTAGGTGAGGAGGGGGGATAAAATATAGGAAAACTCAAGTCATAATTACATTACATACACCCTTGTTAAAGCAGCTCCTAATTTCTTAAACAAATGCAGCTGACAGCCCCTGCGGCTGAGACCGAGAGCAACAGCCGCCCCACCTCCGGCCCAGTCCGGGTGCTGGAGGAGCGGCGTGGAGTCCCGCCCGGTCTCAGTTCACAGCGGCACGGAGCTGCCTCGCTGTTTAAGGCGAGGAAGCCATGAAACCTCCAGGAACTAAACGGCGCCACGCTATGCGCCTCAAGAACTCAAGGCTTCCGCAAGATTCACAGCGCATTTTGAAGGAAGCAGAAAATGCGCGGCTAGGAAAGCAACCGCGACGCAGCCCAAAGCCCCGCCTGGATCCCGGGGACGCAGAGCACGGGCAGCAAAGCCCCTTCCATAACCCCAAAGCCACCACAGGCTCATAGGAAGGATTGCCAGGTACCCGAGCCGCTTTCCCAGTCTCCGCCGGTGGAGGACGAGCAAGCCCTGGGCAGGGACTCCGGCGCCGGAAATGTCACCGCGCGCGCTCGGTGCCGCGGAAGTAGGCCGGGCCGTGGGGCGGGGCGGGGCACGGGGGAACGGGGCGGGGCGCGGGGGCGGGGCGGGGCGCGGGGGGCGGGGCGGTGCTCGGAGGGGCGGTGCGGCGCGCGGGGGGGGGGCGGTGAGGCGCGCGGGGGGGGGCGGTTCGCGGGGGACCGTGGGGGGGGGAGCGGGGCGGCGCGCGGGGGAACGGGGCGGGGCGCGGGGGAACGGGGCGGGGTGCGGGGGCGCGGGGGCTGCGGGGGGCGGGGGAGCGCGGCGGTGCGGCGCGCGAGGGGCGGTGCGGCGCGCAGGGGGGCGGGGGAGTGCGGAGCGGCGCGGGGGGGCGGAGCGGCGCGCGGGGGGCGGAGCGGCGCGGGGGGGGCGGGGCGGCGCGCGGGGGGCGGAGCGGCGCGGGGTGGGGGGCGGCGCGGTGGGGGCGGAGCGGCGCGGGGGGACGGAGCGGCGCGGGGAGGGGCGGAGCGGCGCGCGGGGGGGCGGAGCGGCGCGCGGGGGGCGGAGCTCGGGGCTGGGGGGCGGGGTGGGGCGCGGGGGGCGGGGCTCGGGTGGGGGCGGGGCGGCGGCGGGGGGGCGGACGGGCTGGAGGAGGGGTGTGGCGCAAGACCGTGAGTCCTACCGGGCCGAGGTGTCCCAGCTAGCAGCCTGCGTGGCGAGAAGCCAAAAACCCAGAGTTTGAGTCGGGTCTTTCAAGAGGCCGAATAAATGGATCAGGCCGGTAGTGGAGGCCACCGAGGCTGGAGGAAGACGTCTGCCGCCGGGTCCCGAAGCACCCATTGATGGAGGGGCACGCGACTAGGTGTACGCTAGCTGCAAGCCATCCGGGGGATCGTCACTCCAGCCTGACCCAGTAGTTGGCCTACCACAGGGACCCCTTTGCACCTGCGGAGAATTAGGCGGCCACCGTCTAATAACTGGCCCACTTCGCTGTGTGTTTTCGAGTGAGGCTACTTGGGAAGCACCTTAAAGCAGGGGAGAGAGGGTAAGTTAAGTGTAATTTACAACGCCCTCTGGGATGTCCCACTGCCCACCAGTCAGTATCTCCACTCCCACGGCCGATCTTCTCTTCCCGCCTTTCCCGCACCATTCACTCAGTTGCTGTACACCAAAATCTGGATGTCATCCGTGATGTCTCTTCATCCCCTACAAGCATCATGAATACATCTTATAAATACAATCTTCAGTGGAAAGGAAGTTGAAACACCATGCTCTAATTTTAAAGAAAAACTTTCCACTTGCAGCAGCTCCTATCTAGCTTGTTCACCATAAAACAACCACAGCTGCTAATGACCAAGAACTCTGAGCAGTTCCTACTTACTGCAATTGCCAGACCTTCATCAACTTAATGGAAGACTCTCCTGAAAAGCTTAGGATCTCTAAGGTCCATCCATGTTGTCACAAACCAAAGATAGGACTTGTTTTAACCAGCTGGATGGATTTAGAAATTCATTTCTCTTTGCAAGTGCAGGTTTCAAACCTTAAGTTATCCCCCATGAACAGCCCCTGCCTTTTAGGCTTAAAGAAATTGAACCACAGAAAATTAATTAAATTTCCAATAATCTTAGTCCTTGGTAGATGTTATTTGGAATAAGGTCTGTCATACACCCTTAACTCTACATTATGCTACCTCTTTTTAAAAGTTAAATTTATTGGGTTGAGATTGGTCAACATAAACATATAGGTTTCAAGTGTGGATGTCTGTTACACTGCCTCTTATTGTGTCATTCCTTAATGATTAAGGCTTAACCAAACCCCACAGCTTGTGTGTGTGTGTGTGTGTGTGTGTGTGTGTGTGCAGTCCATCATGAAATATAAAATAGGGTCTCTGAATTGCAGCCAAAAGAATTGTGTAAGATATCTCCCACAACTTTCATATTCTGTCCAATTTGGACTAATCATATTATACTCACCTTGCTATATAATTTATTCCATATCTCACACGTTTGTTTTTTTAAATAATAAATAAACTAAAGGAACTGGTTTCTGCTCTATTTCTACTAGTTCCACACAATGGTTTGTGTTTAGTAATGTTTCTAATGGCATTAATATATTTTAGAAGCTCAGCATTTTTTTTCCAACCATCCTATCCCTCCTCTTTGGCAACCATCAGCTTGTTCTCTGTATCAATCAAAGGACATCTAGGTTGCTTCTGTATCTTGGCTTTCTAACACTACAATGAACATAGGGCTGCATATATCTTTTTTAATTAGTGTTTTTGTTTTCTTCATATAAGTACCCAGAAGTGCTATTGCTAGGTCATATAGCAGTTTCATTTTTACTTTTTCAAGGAGCCTCCATACTGTTTTCCATAGCGGTTGCACCAATTTACAGTCTACCACAGTGCACAGGGGTTCCCTTTTGTCCACATCCTTGCCAGCACTTGATATTTTTTTTAAATATATTTTTATTGATTTCAGAGAGGAAAAGAGAGGGAGAGAGATATATAAGCATCAATGATGAGAGAGAATCATTAATTGGCTGCCTCCTGTGTGCTCCCTCATAGGGATTGAGCCCACATGTGCCATTGAGCAGAATCAAACCTGGGACCCTCCAGTCTGCAAGTTGAAGCTTTATCCACTGAGCAAAACTGGCTAGGGCCAGCACTTGATTTTTTTTTTTTTTTTTTTTTTTAATGATAGCCATTCTGACAGGTGTGAGATGGTATCTCATGGGTTTTTCTGATGTTTTGTTTTTCATTTTTATAAGTTTATTTGAGCCAAGATGAGGACAAATGCCTGTAAAATCTCAATTGCTCTCTCATTGTGTTTTGATTTGTGTTTCTCTGACAATTAGTGATGTTAAGCAGCTTTTCATATGTTTGTTGGCCATCTGTATGTCCTCTTTAAGTAAATGTCTATTCAGTTCCTTTGCCCATTTTTTAAACATTTTTATTTATTTTTAACTTGATTGTTGTTGTTAATCCTCACCAGAGGATATTTTTCCATTGATTTTTTAGAGAGTGGGAGAGACAGAGGACACATTGATTGGTTGCTTCTTTTTTTGTTGTTGTTTAAATATATTTTATTGACTTTTGACAGAGAGGAAGGGAGAGAGGGCTAGAAGCGTCGATGAGAGAGAAACATCGACCAGCTGCCTCTTGCATACCCCCTACCGGAGATGTGCCCACAGCCAACGTACATGCCCTTGACCGGAATCGAACCTGGGACCTTTCAGTCCACAGACTGACGCTCTACCGCTGAGCCAAACCGGTTTCGGCTGGTTGCCTCTTCATATGCCCCGACTAAGGCCGGAGATTGAGCCTGCAACTTGGGTATGTGCCTTTGACCAGAATCAAACCTGGAACCCTTCATTCTGCAGGCCAACACTCTATCCACTTAGCCAAATCAGCTGGGGCCCCATTTTTTAAAGATTTGTGCACCGGTGGGGGTTCCTCGGCCTGGCCTGTGCCCTCTCGCAATCTGGGACCACTCAGGGGATGTCAGGTAGCTGGTTTTGGCCGGATCCCTGCAGGCCTGATCAGACAGAAGAGAGCCAGATCCTGTGTGTTGAGCGTCTGTCCCTTGGTGGTCAGTGCCCATCATAGTGACTGATTGACCAGTTGTTTGGTCGTTTAGACTTTTTATATAGATAGATAGATAGATATCACCTGTGAGTATCTTCTCCCATTCATTAGTTTTTACAATTTTAGATTTTTAGGCATAATTTTGTTTAAAGAATGGTATCATCCGAGTCAGTTGTTGAAGGGGAGATCCAAGATGGCTGCTCGGGTAGACATCTAGCCGCGGCAGCACACAACAATTTCAATGGAATACAACTAAGATGTAGAGTGGACATTGCCCAGAGCTACAGGTAGTCGACTGACTGAAATTTCTACAACAAGAAGGAAAGAGAAAACCAGAAGGAAAATCAGAGGAGCTGAAA